ATATCAAAATAAACGGATAATAAACATTAAACAATCTTATTCAATTAAAGAATGCGTTTAATCAAACTTTCTACGTGGAACTGTGGATAGCCGCATTGACAGGTCTTGCCGAAGCATGCGGAAGTCGAGAGAATGCAGCCAGTCATATCTTGTTGTGGAAGAGCTTCGTATTAGTAAAAGTAAATGTTCGTTTGCAAGCTGGATAGATTACGATTATGTGATAATGACATGTTTATTTGTAGTTACCAACGCTGATTGCCAAGCTTGAAGTACGAAAACAAGAGCGCATGCAAGACATTACTTATGATGACGAAGCAAAGGTATCACATCAGTTTTTTCATTTGAACGGTGTTTGTTTCGACTCGATTTCTCATAATGGTCAAGTCTCTTTAGTACAGGTGTCACGAATCTGTAATAAATCAATTATTTGGATTTCGCGGTTTGATCAATGCTTGTAATCAACTGCCTAAGAGTATAGACGGTGAAAAATATTCGTTGAGTGTTCTTCCTTTCGTATGGCTTTTCCTATCAATGTATTTCGTTTTATTTTTCGGACGATCTTATTTCCCATTAAACGTGTTATTTAGAGTAGTCGACGTGTCAACTGATATACTAAGAGTGTGCGAAAAGAAAAATCTCATTAGAATGGAGTTCATAGCAGGACTTCTTGGAGATCGTACTTCAAGAATAACATGGGAGAAGTCTGACTCGATGGTAATGCAGCTAGGGAGCATGAACGTTTCATTGAAGATAATATTTCTCAAACTTTTTGACTAATTGTTTATATCGTTATAGGATGTTGAGTCATTGGTTTCGAGTATTCTTTCTGACCCTAGCCTATTGGACCCTCTAGTGTTTACCCCAATTTCAACATTTTCTGATCAAGAAACCAGAGTTGAAATTGTGATCAAAGTAAGGAATTGTAAAGCTTTTTGGCAATTGTTTGATGAGCATTCATAATAACCAGCTTATTTGGCTTTTAGCTCGCGACAAGATGGAGCTCTGAGAAGCAAATTCGACTTCTTGGCACACTATGTAAAATTCTCAATGAGAACTTTGAGTTACTTAATGCGATATTTCTCTATAGTCATCCATCTCAGCTGCTCGCTCCGCTAGATGAATTATGCAGTATTTGGACTAATCCAGAAAGCGACGAAATTGGTACGTGCAAGTTATGTGTATGGTATTAGGAGATTACGGTGCGATTGAGTTTTATATTTGTCAATAGATGATTATGTACAAGATTACGAGAATTTTGGGCATATATTTTTTTTGATCTGTAGTGCTGTCAATCGATATGAAGTAAGTGCGCTTGCTTATCTTTGATATATAAACAATACGAAATCCCGTTATTCATGGATATTGTCTTTATAGCTGCACAGAAATCTTGAGGATGTATTTAAAGGCACTAGTGGCTTTATGTACAAGTATTTTTTGTTGACACCCGGGGCTATCACATCAGAAGGGCAGCAAGATTTATTAGTAAAGCAATGGGTAGATGCTCTATTAAAAGAAGCCACAATTCCCGACGGTATAATAAGGTACCTTTCACAACAAGACTAAAATTTCTTACTTAAATGTTTTAGAGGTGAGAGAGGCTTTCTTTACTCAATGTGACTATCCATCTTTCAGGTCAACTCATCCACGGAAAATGATTGATTTCGCGCCAGTAATAATAGACAGATTATGCGATAATTGTGAAAAGGAAGCTATTAGCCAAGAAGTCTTACTCAGCAGACTAGAAATTTTCCTACAACCTCGTTGGTCATATGCTTTAATCACAATATGTCAATGGCTTTGTGAGGAATCTTTAACGTTAAAGTAAGGTCATTGGTTATATTCGTAATCTTTTATTGTTTATTATCGGTTGAATATGGACGTTCTCCCCGTGAATTATCTATCAGCCAGTCGTCCCTTCTTCTTAACATACTGAAACACCTTGTCCTACGTGAGGAATTTCCGTCAATTGTTTCGCGATCAGTTGGTCATTTGATACAAACGACTTTGATTGGAACGAAATTACCCGCTCCCGATATCGAGAACGTGAGAGTCAAGATCGAATCATCACTTGATTCTGGTAAACTCATTTCTGTATATAACCGTCTCCCTCCTGCTATAACTAATTGGCTGTTCTATGTCTGGCATTCCAGTATGGCGAACAAAAAAGTATTCAATAGACACTCTCACTCGTCGATTCCGCAAGATGTTTCATGTTGTGGTAACGAATGGAAGAAGTAGCTTTGTGCAAGATAGAGTGCTGAGTATTTCATGTCCCCACCATTTTGACGTTGAATTGATAAGAGACGTTCTTGAAGTTGGGGGAGCCCGTCTATTTGTCGAACTGGTCGGAGAGGTAGGCATGGAAAATCATAATCTCTTCGATAAAGTTTACATAGTCGCAGTTGATTGAATGATATTTGATTTATTATATTGTCGGATAGGTAATATCGGCTACAAGTAAAGTTGGAGGAGGTAAACGAGCAGGTATGATTTGATATGCTTCATTACAATCGAGAAGGTATATCTCCAGATTCTTGTTTACCTTGAAGCGATCTGACTTGATTTAATGGATTAATGCTAACGTCTAGTTAGTCTCTTTCGAAGACGGAAGACCTAGCTATTCTCTCAACCATTTCGGCATTTGCAACCAGTCCATCAGCAAAACCTCTAGCGGGCCCGTTAGACGGCACCCAATCATACACTTTACCATTCCGCCAATCTATATCCATGGAATCTTCACTGCCTGCGTACTCATCTTCTTCTTCGCTCTTAAATTTAGACAGTATGCACTCGGAGAAATGTTCAAACAGAGTTTTCTCCTCTACCCTGGCTGATGAGTCAATTCGCAATAAAACGTGCGCCGTTAGCAGCCCGAGACTATAGCCTTGCGCATACGATGTGATCTTTCTATCAATCAGGTCAATGAGTATGTCACTAAAGAGGATATGAACTAGA